GAAAGTTCTAAAAACAAAATCAAAAATATGAGAGTGTATATTTGTAAGAGAGCCGCCACACGAAAACAGAGCATCAGGAATTCAGCCGGACAGGGACAGATCAAAGGACAAAAGAACAACATAACTACGTAGCAGTGAGAGCGCTCGCCTCGCACCAATGACGACACTTGTGCTCGCTTTCCTAGCTATGCGTTAATGATAAGAGTGGTTTTTGGTCCTCTCCTATTCTTCAAGAGCTTTTCTCTGGGCCCTTTCCTTCATCCGTCGAAAAATCAACTTCTAAATTCCAATTGGAATCCAGTGGAAAAATCTTATTTTTAGCTCAGAAGAAGCTTTTACAATTAATAATTACTATAGGAATAACTGTCGTGACTCACGTATGGACAATAAATTCAACTTTACAATCAGACAAACAAACATTAGCTAAAAACATAGGTATTTTTAGCAGTTATTTTTATCTAATTGACGTCAAGAAGAAGTCAAAAACTGAAGTTTTGAATTGCTACTGTTATGATAAGATAAATGTGTTATTGCTCAGAGAGAACAATGAGTGTATTCAATTGGTTAACAAATGTTTCAAATGTTAATGTATCATCGTCCCCAAAAGCTCAGTAAAATATAGAAATTATTCAAAGGTTCAAGAAACAAATCTAACCAAATGAAGTTAAACGGCCACTTACAAACGCCTATTTAATATTGGTATCGGTTGTGTGTCAATTAACAAACAAATATTACATAGAAGGTGTTTACCAACCAGGAGGTCGGGAGATAAACTGTGCCTGGGTTTTAGAATAAGATGAACAAAGCTACAGTTTTCCCATTTCCTGACCGACTATAGGAATAAGGTTTTTTTTTTAATCGCATTAAAATTTTTTATACTTCGTTAAAAAAAATTGTTGCTTAGCAGTACATTATACCGTGATACCGGATGACGTTCAGGGATGGGCAATACCGATCTGCAGCCAACCACAATGTTCAACTGAGTGAAAATAGTAATAAATGAATAAATGTTTTTATTCAAACAAGGTAGGCTCGTAAGCTAGATGCTTTTTGAGCCGTGCATCCTCTATAGCCCACACCAAGACACATTACTTCATTCAAATATTGGAATATTCGAACATGTTGGGTGGAACTATTTAAAAAGAAATCTGAATTACAACATTCAAAAAAAGAAACTTCCCATGATGCCACGCGTTCTTCAATTCCGGAACGCGCGACTAAAACATTTTCATGTGTTTTGATATATCGTTTCATATCTGCTGTCTAATATTTTTGTCGTTATTTTCTTGTTTATCCTTCTCATTCTCCTTCTCCTCTAACAAGCAAACAAAACATACAAACACGAATAACAACAAGATTTTTTAAAAAATGAATATTTTCGTAATACTTATCATGAGTTCTGTTTCTGTGTTTTATTTTAATTAACCCATAAATAATTTCTAAGTTGGTGAAGTTTTTAGTTTATTACAGTTAAAGCATCCAGTATGTGAATATGTTGCATTTGCATACTCGATGACTTTGTCATGCTGTTTTCCTTAGCAAGGAAAAAAGCTATAGGTAAAAATAACTTGTTATTGAGAAATCAAAACAAGGTCGAAGCAGAAAAGTTATAATTACAACTTGTATCGTAGGAACCAATGTGTTTGCTTAATAATGTGAGTAACTTCCTTGGAGATTTGTCGTTTTTTTTTAAATTTTTTGAAACCAAAGAAATTCCTTGACAACTATGGATTGAAGATCTGAATTTTCCGGTTTCGTTTTGCTATATATAAGGGGTGAGATCAGTGTATGCTTCACTTTGTACTTGCCTACAGTCCTGTACGGTTTGTGGCAACGATGAAGACCTTGTTTGGAATAGTTGCTCTCATTTCCTTGGTTGCTTCGGCTATTGCGGCTACGCTCAATGACCCATCGGGGTATGGTAAGTACACTTGATCACAGTTTCCTGAGGTGCTCAGTGTTTACAAATAATCTAGGCAACAAAAAAAATTACTTTACGGAATGCTTTCTCACCGCCAAAAATAAAGAAAGAAAAAATGAAAAGAAAACGCGGAGCAGAAGGAAAAAGTAAAACAAGGCAATTGAAAATCCTACATTTGTTTTTTTTTTTCTTCTTTTTTTACAGCTGGAGGCTGGGGACCTTGGGGTCCATTCTGCAAATGTAGCAAGTCTTGTGGAGGTGGCACACAGTATCGTTTAAGGGTGTGTGCTAATCCACCAGTGTACGGTAAAATTCCACCATGCGAAGGCAGCGACAGGCATACTCAAGACTGTGGAACTCATCCTTGTCCAGGTAAAATCATCAATCCTTTTAATTTATACTATGTTAATAAATGGAAACAAATAACAGTTTTGAAGTTTAATCGTCGATGACCACTTTGTCATCTATATAGTGCTTATATTGAACTTTCCTCCATCTTCCAACACTAGTGGATGGATATTGTGAAGCTTATGGTGGCTGGGGCGCTTGCAGCAAGACATGTGGTGGTGGAACTTGTAAGAGAACACGAAAATGTTACCCACCTAAGTACGGAGGAAAAACTTACGTTGGATACCCTGAAGAAACCAAGAAATGTGGAACACATCCTTGTCCAGGTAATACAATCCTTTAATACTGTGTTAAGAACAAATATAAGTAACGTACATTTTTACAGTTTAATAATCGATAACCTCTTTGTCATCTATAAATAACTGAAATGTATTAAGTGATCTATGAGCTAAGTCGTATTTATTGAAACTTTTTTTCAATCTTCCAACCATAGTGAATGGATATTGTGATGCCTATGGCAGCTGGAGTAAATGTACCAAGACATGTGGAGGTGGAACTTGTACGAGAACACGAAAATGCTACCCACCTAAATATGGAGGAAAGGCTTATAGCGGTGGCTATAAGGAAACTAAGAAATGTGGAACACATCCTTGTCCAAGTAAGATCAAATTAGACATGCAAATGTCATAATTAACCTATTATAGTGGAATTGATAACGGATTAAATTCTCAGATTGAAGTATCTGTATCTAGCTGGGAATAGTGTTCGCCTCTAACCTAGATAACCCAGGTTGGATTTTCTTACTCGGTATTGTATTTGACTAGAGTTGCTTGTTGGTTCTCTATCTCCTGTGCTTCGAAGGGTTTTCTCAGGTTATCTTTCATGCATCCGCAAAAATTAGATATTAAATTCCAATTGGAATTAAGTGGAAGAAGATTTGCTATGTAGAGATGAAACTGTTGCAATCCAAGAATTATTTATTTTATTTCGATTTTATTTCAAATGCTATATTCAGCTTAAAATAATAGGATTTTTGATGATGCTTTTTTTCATTATTTTTTTCTAGTCGATGGATATTGTGAAGCATATGGCGGCTGGAGTAAATGTACCAAAACATGTGGTGGTGGAACTTGTAAGAGAACACGAAAATGTTACCCACCTAAATACGGAGGAAAAGCTTACGTTGGATACCCTGAAGAAACTAAGAAATGTGGAACNGGAGGAAAAGCTTACGTTGGATACCCTGAAGAAACTAAGAAATGTGGAACACATCCTTGTCCAGGTAAAACAATCCTTTAATACCGTGTTAAGAA